ACCTCACGCCCATGTCCTTGTGGGTCCCTTTGGAGAAGTTCTGAGCCTAACCTGGAATCCCACCTGATAGACACAGACACATCCCTTCAGGATGAGTGGCTCTGAACAGTTTAAGGGGGGCATTTCTCCGAGACCCCTGCCACTCTGCTGGCGGTCTGTTTCTTCAACCCTCTACCCCCACCTCCCCATACCCCTTCTCTGCTCTCCCTCACTCCCAACCCATCCAAACCCCCCTCTGGCTCACCCTCAACCCTGCCCCAGGAGCTTCCCACAATACCTTTTCCTTTGAACCATTTGAGTTGAAATCGGCTTGCTGATGCCCCCCTCCCCTGACAAATTTATAGGTAGGTCCTTAGAAAACCCAAGCAGTGCCAGGTAGTGGTGGCACACGCCTCTAACTCAGCACTCAGGAGGCAAAGGCAGGCAGATCTCTGTGAGCTTGAGGCCAGCCTGGTCTACAGATCAGAGATACACAGAGAAACCTTGTCTTAACCTCCCCAGACCCAAACACTTCTATATCAGACAGGTTGTCCTGTTCTCTTTCTTTCTTTCTTTCTTTCTTTCTTTCTTTCTTTCTTTCTTTCTTTCTTTCTCTCTCTCTCTCTCTCTCTCTCCCTTCCTTCCTTCCTTCCTTCCTTTCTTTCTTTCTTTCTTTCTTTCTTTCTTTCTTTCTTTCTTTCTCTTACAACTTGACACAAGGTAGAGTTATCTGGGAAGAGGACCTCAGTTGATAAAATGTTACCATCAGCTTGCCTGGAGGCAACTTTATAATATATTTTTTTTTATTAAAGATTGATGTGGAAGGGCCCAGTTTACTGGGACCATGCTGCCCTGGAGCAGGTGTCCTGGGCCATATAGGAAAGCAGACTAAGTAGGGAAGAAGCCAGTAAGCAGCATTCTTCCATGGCCTCCGCTTCAGTTCCTGCCTCCAGGTTCCTGCCAGTTCCTGCCCGGACTTCTTGTGATGGGGAAGAGCCAGCAAAATAAACCCTTTTCTCCCCAAGCTGCTTTTGGTCGTGGTGTTTCGTCATTTAGGCACCCTAACCAAGACTCAGGCTTCAAATTTAAATGCTTTCAGGAATGTTAAGACATCATCTAAATGCATTGTTTACTATAAAGTTACGATTGCAGATTACTCCCCCCAGTGTGGAAGGGTAGGTTTCTCCCTGAGATGTATAAACTGTAGACTGTCAAGGTTGCAGAGCCCTGGGTTTAAGGTCCTGTGAGATGGTTTTGCGTTCAACTACAAACATCCACAGGTTGGGCCATACTGAGGAGGCCGCTTTGCCATTTTATTCTTTGGCTTTGCTTCCACAATCCCGAATCTGGCTAACAGCAGTCCATGCTCCTCCAGGGGATGTTGGAAGTGAAGCCATAAGCGAGAAAGGTCTTCACGAAGTGCTCAGATGGGCCGGCCAGTGTGGCCAGAGGGACAACCATTCTATAGTCTAAGGATCCAAGGCGTCTTCAAGGGCAACAGGGCGGGCGGGGGGGGGGGGGCGCTGGATGGGCAAACAAGGAAACTGGCGGCTGCGGGGGAGGGGGTGTCCAGACACCCAGAGAGGCAATGAAGAATCAGCCGAGATGACTTTTTTCCTCACCTCAACCTCTCTCCCTCCTTTCCCTCACTCCACATATTTACTTAGACGAGAAAGAATGAGCACTTTGAAGTGTCAGTTAAAGCCTTGAACAAATGAAGTTAGTGCTTAGAAAGCCAGAAAGACATTCCGGTAGGAGGCAGGTAATGCGGGGGCGGAGGGACTGGGCAGACTCTGTCAGAGTCCGGTTGTATTTCCGATATGTTACTGCACCCTGACCGGTTCCCTTGGACAAGTTACTTAACGTTACTTTCTTGAACTGACACCTGGGAATGAGAGCCACCTCAAATGTTTGCAGTGAAGATTACAGGAGACAGTATCTGTTGTTTTCTTTAAGATTCAAGACACCGGGGCTTAATCCCTGTTCTTAGCATCTTACTCCAGGCCCTTCCTAACTGCGTGCCCCCGGGGATGTCTTCCCACGTAGGCGCCGGCGAACTGGGTTTAGATAAGGTAAAATACAGGCATCCACTGAACGAAGGGAGGCCAATCCCGGGGCAGCACTGGGGCGCAGCTCTGCCTCCGGTGTCACAGGACTGAAATGTGGCCTAGGCTGTGGAACGTAGGTCTCCAGGAAGGCAGGAAGGCTCGGGAAACCAGCACACGTTCGGGAGCAGGGCCAGGCAGGGATCAAAGCTCTCGCTGGCAGGCCGGGGCGCACCAAAGGGAGGCCGGCGACTTGCATCAGCACAGATTCCGTGATGCTCTGCAGACGTCTGGGGGCTGCTGGGCTTTACGGGAAGCCACAAGAAAGGAAAGGGCCGGGGAAGCGGGTCCGGGCGGGGGCGGGCGAGGGCGCGAGGTTGCGCTGGCCCGAAGGCGCGCTCTCGGCGGCGCCTGCTGGTGGCTGGGCGCGCCCGGGACGGCGGAGGCCTTGGAGGAAGCTCCTGTTCCCCTTCCCCCGCCTGCTCCCCCCCCCCCCGCTCCGCCCCGCGTTACTGGAAGGACTGTGTGGGAGAGACCCAGAAGCACACGATTATTGAGTGCGGGCTGGGGTGGGGGGCTGGACAGCCGGTGAAGCTCAAAGGAAAACCAAAAGTGCGTCTATTCGTGCTGGTGTGACACGCGGCTCCTCGTGTAGGCCCCTAAGCACCCTGGCCGCGCCCCCAGTTGCTCACCTCCCCCCACCAAGATTTCTCAAGGGCGATCGAGGGCCCGCACAGCACAGGGCGAGGCGAGTGGGAAAGTGTCACGATTTTTTCTGTGCCCTACCCCCGTCCCCACCCCCAGTTTCTGGGGTTTGCTGCTGCTGCTGGGGAAGGGCTGATCCGTTTTGCGTCAAAGGGCTGCATTTACTCAGTCCTGCTGAGAGAGGCGCGTAAACACCCAGGCATGCCAAGACGCAGGGTTGAAGGAAAAAAAAGGGCGGGGGGAGCCAGGCACCCACGACTGGTGCGTGCGTGTATGCCTGTCCTACACCCCACTCGCGGGCCTGCAGAGCTGCACTCTGCCGAGAGAGCAGCTGCAGCAAAGCGAGGAGTCTGGCCACCCCGGCTCACCACGCGCGCAAGTCCTTGGGGATGGAGCTCAGGACAGAATGTGTTTTATAACTGTAAACAATGACCCCGAGTATTGTTTGGGATTACCGTATCTTGGGGCCCTTGGGGCGGCCAGATGCCGCCAGCCGTCCCGGAAACGCCAGAGCTTTATATAGAGCCTCGGGAAAGCTTCGAGTTCCCGGCTCTTATTTTTCTTTCCTTAGTAACGCCCCCACTTCACAGATAAGGAAACTGAGGACTTGGATATTACATAGCTGATGCGTAGCGCTTCAAACTCTTCAGTGAACCCCTAACAACTCATTTTCGTATTCACTCCTGAAAAAGATCTTTAGGATACAGATGCGCTGTCTAAGGATGGTTAAAAACGGCGTAGGTTTCACACTTATAATCCCAGGACTCGGGAGGTGGAGGCTTACCTCCGACGTGTACCGAGTTCGGGGGCAGCTTGTGCTACCTGAGACCCTGCAACAAAAGACAGTTCTTCAACTCCTAGTTCAACGCTTAGCTTATCGGCACACATTGTACCTTCTCTAAGGATGATTGGAGATCCGGAGCAGACAAGAGCTTTAGAAGGTCGTCTGATCCAAACCTTTCATTACAGAGAAGGAAATTGAGACTCTAGACTCGCCCAAGATCTCACAGCTCATAAATAGCATGGCCAGGCGTTCATACTCCAAGTCCTGCGCTCTTTACCCTGCGCACCACCCCACCCAGCAAGGCGGGAAGAGCCAGGAGTCCGGCCACGCGTGCTCTGAACTTTGTTCCAAAACAGCTCAAGGCAACTTGGGGCACACCTCTCGGTCCCCAGTTTTGTTTGCTTGTTTGTTTGAACAGCTTGGTTTGCTTTTAAGGCCTGGTTACTGCTATTAGATGCTTCCTAATTGTCTAGCGCAGAGGACTCCCGACATGTCTCCCTAGCTAATTTCATCTTCAATACTACTTCTTGCAAATTAATTGGAAGGCTAAAAACAAAATACCCCCCCCCCCAAAAGCAAGCACACACACACATACAAAAGGGAAGCAGTGGGCAGCCAGGCTCCGAGGGGGGAAATGGGCAGGCCAGCCCCGCCTGGCGGCGCCGTGCCGCACCCCACCAAGACCCGGCCGCAGGGCGGCGCGGGTGCCCGGTGCGTCCAGGACGCCCGCTGCACCGGGCGGCGCCACTGAGGGTGCGGACGACTGCGCACGGCCGCGCCCTCCCCGCGAGCGGCTCTGCGCGCCGGGCTCTCGGCCTCGCGGTGGCGCCGCACTGAGCCACCTGTCTCGTTTTTTGGGCTGCGATTGTTTTCTAAAACCCGGAGACCGTGCCCGCGCAGCCGCTTTCGGGGCCCCGCCCCGTGCCCCTTCCTTTTGGGGTGGGTATGGGGAGGAGGGGGAGGCCGCGGCGCACTCGGGAGCGGGTAAGGGAATCCCTCTCCCTCCACGTCACCCGAAAGCGAGGAAACCCGCACTCGCGTCCTCTAACGCAAATGACCATCTTTGGCAACGTGCGCCAATGGAACAGACCAAGGGCGCTGCGCCCCGGGGGTGAGGTGGGGATGGAGAAGATTCGCAAGGACACGAGCGGCCTCAACGCCCCCCTAGTGCGAGGGCCGCGCGTTCCCACCCGCACCACCGCCCTCCTTCCTTGCGCGGGGTGTGTGGCTGGCGTCAGCACCACCGCGAGCAGAGCCGGGAGGGGAGCGAGGCGCCCGCCTCCTCCCCTCCCGCGCCTCTTCCTCCTCCTCGTCCCGGCCTCCTCCCCCGCCGCCTCGAGCGCTCCTCCCAGCAAGGTGGAGTCTAGAGTTGACGTGAGTCGATCCACATGGTGTGGGGCTGTGGGGCTGGAGAATAAAGAGTGTGGAGTTGAACTCGTGCCATTGTAGTGACTCATCTCGGGCAGAGCGCAGGGGCTCAGAGCGAGACAGCGAGCGGCGCTCGGCAGGGACAGAGTGAGCGAGCGAGCGAGCGAGCGAGAGAGGGAAAGGGGAAGAGAGAGAGAGGGAGGGCGAAGCGAGGAGAGACGCGCGAGGCCGGCCGTCCCGGAGCGGACACGGGGTGCAGGTCACTGCGGCGCGGAGCCACGTCCCTCTCAGCACCGCTCACCCTGGAACCCCACGGGCACTGTCCCGCCGGTGCGATCAGGGCTGCTGGACCGGCGCTCGCTGCCTTGTCCTAAGTCAAGTGTCCGTGTCGCCGGGAAACTCAGGCGGCGAGTTGGCCACAGGAAGTTTATTCTCGGGCTCCTTTTCTAAAAGGAGGAAACAAGTTTCTCCCAACCGGCAGCTTTTCTTTTTCTCATTTTTGGCGCCCTGTGAGATTGGGAAGAGAGTTCCCCCAGAGCTGCCAAGCGACACCCGCTGGGCTCCTAGTCTTTTTGCGTTGCCCATTTTTCTCCAGCCCGTGGGTCCCGGCGGAGCTCCGGCTGCGTGCGGGGGCGGAAGGGCGCGCGCAGGGGAGGGACCGAGGGACGCGCTGACTTTTTAGAGGGAGGGACCCAGTGGACAACCGGTTCCGCGGAGCTTGCAGAGCAGAAACGAAGTGCGGTGCGCGGCGATCGGGGGGTCACTTCCCGAGTGTCGCCGCCTCCCTGTCTGCCTCGGTTGGGGGACAGCCCCGGAGCGAAGAGCCCAGTCCGCCGCGGGGCCAGTGGACCAGCGAGCGCGCAGCAGACTGTGCGCGGCCGCGGCGAGGGCGGGGAAGAAAACCACCCTGTTTCCTCACCGGCCCCCACCGCGGATCATGTACCAGGATTATCCCGGGAACTTTGACACCTCGTCCCGGGGCAGCAGCGGCTCTCCTGCGCACGCCGAGTCCTACTCCAGTGGTGGCGGCGGTCAGCAGGTACGTGAGGGCCCGGGTGCACCTGGCGGCTCGGGCAGACTTTTCTCTCCCACTGCCTGCACCCCCAACCTCCGTCTTTACCCTTTCTTGGCTGGGCTAGAAAAATAGTTAGGGGCCTCGTTGTTAAGTTGTGGGGTTTTGTTCTGCCCCACCCACCCCACCACTTTTTATTTTAAACAAGGGGAGAGTGGACTTGAAGAGTCAATAACATCCCTCCGCATCCCCCCCCCCCCCGCTCCTCTTACTTTATTTTTCAGAAAAGCTTCTGGAATTGCAGGTCCCCTCTTGGAAGCCTGTTGCCTCCTTCCGAGCTCTCTCCCCTCCCTTCCCTCCTTCCCCTTTCTCGGTGGTGGATAGGCTAGGAAATCTTTGCACTCCCAAAGCCCCTCCCAACCGTCAACGACCCTATAACGAAGGCCTTTTAGCCCTTCCTTCTTCAGTTTTTCTTCGGTCTTAGCTATTTTCTGAAAAGGGTTGGGAACTCAGAAATACGGTTGGGCTCCTTCTAATGATCCGGAGGGAGGGCTAGGGTTGCCTCTGGGAATCAGGTGCGAAGGTCAGGAAGGAAGAAGCTGGCTTTGATTGGCTCTTGACACCTCTTGTGCCCCCCCCAGCTTCCGGTGAGGGTTGGGCAGGAGCCTGTACTGTCCGGAGAGCAGAACCTTGAGGGTCTTGGGGGTACCTGGGGCAAAGAAGTTGGCGGAGAGAAGCGGGAGAAAGAGACATCCCTTGGTTTCAGAAGTAGAAAAACAACTTTGTAAAGCAGGCAGACTGGTTTCCGTTGGAGGGATTGTGCCTGTAATCTGCATGTCTATAGGTACCAAACATGCACTGGTGGTGGTGGTGGTGGGAGGGGGGGTGCTGGCGCGGTTCCTGACTTGTGTAGCGGCACACACGCTGTCTTGTGAGAGAAGCGCGTGAACTCACAAGGTCCTCTGCCGCCTGAAGCCCACCGGAGTTCCTAGCCAAGTTGGTGGCAATGTGAGTTACTCTCATGGTTATGGCCTTGGCGTTGGCCTTCAGCATTCAACCCCATGGGGGGGGGTGGCGGGCACTTCCAGGAAGAGATGGACTGAGCTGGGAAATATAATAAAAACATGTCTTTCTTTGTAATCTGAAAAAGAGGGGCACCGCTCTTAAAGTATTGTCCCATGTCTGGTGAGTCCCTCCAACCCTCCAAATGGCTTTCTTTGTATTCTCTCTAACCACTCTGTTCCCGCTAAGCACCCACTGTAGAGAGTCTGATCTGCGCAAGGAGGGGACAGTCAATGGACCCTTACTGTTGAAGTAATGAGTTTTAAATCTTATCTGAAAAGTCATTGATTATTTTTACATCCCAGCCCGGGGGTGATTTGTGTTGAACCCAAACGTCATTCATCAATGGGTCAGAGTCATTTATACCTGTCCCCCCCCCACACTTTCCAATTCAATAACCCCACCCCACCTCCCTCTCCTTCACCAGTCAGCATAGGAGCTTTGCACTTCGTCTGTTTCTTTCACTAGATGAGATTGAGACGGTGACCTGACACAGTGCCGCCTCCCTCCCTGGCGCTTCCCTCAGCCTCCAGGGCCTGGATGGGAAGTCTGACCGGACATCAGTGCCCGGGCTGAATATCTGTGTCACTAGGGCTTTGAGCCCAGGATATGAGCAGAGGCAATTCCTTGTTTTGGAAGCAAATCAGACAGGAAACCAAAGCTCGGACGAAGGAAGAGAGCTCCGTCCAGCAGTGTGTAATGGGGCCTCATTACCGAAGCAAAAAGCAGCTGTTGGCTAATTTCTAGCATGCTGTAACACATGCGGATCTTGCAATTAGCAACCACCAATGCATGGGATTCTCAGATTCCTGTGCCCATTCTGCTCAGTAGCAACCCAGAGGGATTGGCAAGGTGACGCCACTTTGGCCAAGTTTCACCGTGGCACTCCTTGCTGATGTGGGGGGTGGGAGATGAGGAGCAGAGGTTGGTCCCCACTGTTGGTTTTTCCCTCCCTCTGCTCTGGCTTTTGACTCTGTGGTCCCAATGATAGGATTCAGCTTTTGTTACTTTCCAAGTCTATGCTTGGACCCCACCCCGATCTGGGCTCAAGGTAACTTTATTACATACCAGATAAAGTCTGTAATCACCTCTTCTCTCAACCACCTTCATAGGGAAATTTTTCCGGCAGTTAGTGACCGGGCCTTCCTCCTTTATGGCATTATAATGGACTGATCATTATGAGATGTTCCTGGGTTTCTCTTGAGCAAGTGGGTATGAGTTTCCACCCTGGTCTCCTTGTTTGTGGTTCCTCTGTCCCCCATAAATAAATGTGCTGTTTAACCAGCCCCCCCCCCCCCCCCCCCCCCCCCCGCATAGCATAGCATAACGCCTGGTTTTGGCGCTGAGTTCCACTGACTTGTGGGGTGGGAGGCAGGTATAGCTCCTTGTTAAAACCTCTGCTTGTGTATATGGCAGGAACTGGAAACATGTAAAGTAGTTCCTGTTGCAGCTATAATCTCAATCTCAAAGGTTAATCACTGGCAATTTAGTGTTCTTGGGGATAGTTGTATATACCTTCCCCTCCTGGAGCTGGCTTTGTTGTTGTTTTCTTTCTCCTGACTTTCCTGGGATAACACCTTCAGATATATGCCTTGCCTTGCTCCTTGGCTGTTACGGTTTCAGGGCCCTGGCATTACGCAATCCAGCCAGTTACACAAACAGAGGTCATTTCATAACTTGTTTTCATCAGCCAGGCCCCCTTTACATGAGAAAAACAAAAACAAGACACCGAACTTTTCCAAGACTGCTGTGTCTAGATGGCTTGTGAGAGGAAGTCGACGATATTTTTTTTAGGAATCAAGGAACATTAGACCTGCTTTTTTCCCCCTCTGCCACATTCTCCCAACAGGACACACACACACACACACGGACACACGCACACACACTTCCCCAGAGTGGACTTTGCCAACTGTACCAGGCTGGGACATTCCTTGCATCAAATAAATTTACCAGAAATGACTGTGATTTCCCAAGTCGGCCTCAACCATACCTCTCTAGTGCCCCCTACAGGACACTTTTGGAAGTGCGGTCCTGGGGAATGTATTTTTCCAGTCTCAGGGTGTGAAACTTGGTTAGTTTTCCAAATTCTTAGAATTTTTCATTTTATTTAAGGCAAATAGGGGCCATGTATTTAGCTATAGCTAAATTAAAAGTGAAGTTATTTTTTTAAAGAAAAGGATGCTTTGTTGTTTTTTAAGCGACCCTTGGTTGAGAAATGGGTTCACTAGGGTGCCCCTTCACAGTGTTATTTTCTTGAAGCATTTTGTGGGTTCATGCTGGGAGAGTGGAAGATGCAAATTAAGGGTCTTCTGCTTTTTCTCTTTTTTGCTTTTTGTTTTTCCTGGACATTCCAGATGTTGTAGATTAGGATCAAGCTGAGAGCTATCCCAGGAATGTATCAGTCCCGCCGATTCTTGCTGGTGGAAGGCTTTTTCATCACCGTTGGGTGAAATAGCAGCCATGAACTGCCGGAGAGTGGCGGCTGAATTTTCCTTCCCAAAACCCAGAGCACATTTCCATGATTGCACTCCTGCCTGTCTTAGTATTCAAGGTGCATATACAGTTTGAGATCTTGGCGGTGTGAGTGTGTGTCTTCCTGCACACACACAGAGCTACCCGTCCAAGTCAGTCTGCACTGCTGTCTCCTCCATTCTTGTGCTCCTGGGGGGCTGTGTGCTTCATTGAGCACTGAGGCTGCTGGACTCAAAGGCTTTGGGACAACTGCTCTTTTGGAATTTTTTAAAAATTGTTTTTAGTAAACCGGGCGGTGGTGGCGCATGCCTTTAATCCCAGCACTCGGAAGGCAGAGGCAGGCGGATCTCTGTGAGTTTGAGGCCAGCCTGGTCTACAAGAGCTAGTTCCAGGACAGGCTCCAAAAGCTATGGAGAAACCCTGTTTCGAAAAATCCAAAAACAAAATTGTTTTTAGTGTATTTAGACAATTCTTTCTGCTAACTCACCTTTCGTTGAAAGGTGAATTTGATATTTGAAAAGTACCAAAAGGTCTTTGGAATTAAGTCTTAGTATAGAATCTGAGTGGACAGACTGGCCCAGCATAGAGTGAGACCCCGAGTCATGTTGGTCTCAGTCTTCCATGTCTCCAAACTCTCCGTTTGCTGGCACGGCCTCTCTGCTATTGATGTCTTGGACACCTTTTCTTTGTTAAATAGAAATAAAGATACTGATGTTGAGAAGGAAGGAAGCCAACTTTCTGGTTTGTGTGTTGAAAGGAAAAAAAAATAGTTTCACTGTTGAATCTGCTGAATGGATAAATCGCAGCTCTCTCGCAGGCGGAGCTCTGAGTTCAAGGCCAGCCTGAGCCCAACGCTGGTCTTATTGGCTGCAGAGGGTAGAGGATCAATGATATTAGGAAAAGGTTCCTGAGTGTTTCTCCAGTGTTCAGGCGTGGGACTTTTACCAGAAAGAACAAAGGATCCAGGACATCTAGGAGCAGCTCCGCAGCCACCTCTGCCTGTCTTTTCTCTCTGTTCCTTGCTTTCCTTCACTGTGGACATGAGGTACCACAGGCTGGACTGCTTCTCAAGTGGAGCTGGTAAAGAGACTGGTGCAGTAACCTGTGATACGTTTGTGTGGTGGAAAAGTCTGGAAATTGTGAGTTATTGGCAGCCATTTCCATCGTGACATAAATGGCATTTCCTCAGAGAAGAGAGGTCAGAGGTCAAGGTGGTGGCCAGTGTAGATGCTGTACCATAGGCTTTGGAAGGCACCCTGTGTTCAGTGAATGTAACACTTGCCTAATGTTGGTGCTGGGCCTCATTAGGTTGATATGAATAAGTGTGGCTAGAACATTCGGCATTTCCCTTCCTCTCTCCAAAGCTAGTCTTCTGGGGTGTTATGATTTCCTTGTCCTATGTTGAGGATGTAGAAAAGGAGAAAGGCCAGTTCCATCCTAGATGAAAGTCTGCCTTACTGATGGAGCAGGTCACAGGGTCCGTAGGTTCATGT